GTAGCGCCCGCTTCTTCCCGCCGGTGCGCGGCGGAGCACCTGTCTGCCGGGCCGGGGCGGCCTCTCTGGTCCGCGGGTGGGCAGGAGGGATCCCGCGGCCGCGTCTCGAGAGAGAGTGGCGCTTCTGGTTTGTTTATATTCGGTTGTGGTTTTGTTGCTGTTGTTATTGTGTTGGTTTTTTCCATAAGGGAAGAGAAGAAGGCGTGCCAGCCCTTCCCAAAGCTTCCCTCGATGCAAGGCTAGCAGATGGCGTGTTCCTATTTTGCTTATTTCTAGCCCTCTTTCTGTTTCTAGTTCTGCTTTTTTGGAGATTAGCATAAATGCGTATCAATTTATTAAAAAATACATTTGTTTGGAAAGAGTTAAGTTATGAAAGCGTGGCTCAGGAATCAAACCTTGTCTTAAACCTTACCTGCTGTTCCAGGGATAGTATCTAGGTTGCTCTTACGTAGTTATGTTTGCTCCATACCTGTTAGCAGGTCGGCAGGTGTGACTGAAGGTGGAAAGTAAAAATTATGCAAATAGCTACTGAGGAAATTCTCTTCTGCTGATGACTCTTCTGTCTGTCTTGTAGTTATATAGACAGTCACCCTACTATCTCAGCACTGTTACCTAACACACAGAATTCATTACTGGAGGTGCTAAGGCTCAAGATCTTGGAGCAAAATTATAATGGTTGTCAAGACCTTAAGAAGAAACTTGCCTTTCAGGGTATATTATTTCGCAATGTCTGCTGCATTGTTATTTGAAGTAGCTTGCACTGGGTACTGCCATTAATGGACTGCTGGCCTGACTATGGTGCGGGGTCCTGAGTTCCTGTATTTGTAATTTAAATATACAGCTCTTACATGAGACACAACTTCAAAGAGTTGCTTTACAGGAAAATAATTTCTACAGATAATATTAGACATAACTTCTGTACTTCATCCTGTCATTTTTCTGTTAGCCAAACTCAGCTATCTTCTTCAATAAGACAGAGCAACGTTTCTGCTTCTCTTAGAGTCTGTCTGCCCTCAGGAAGCAGCTGAAGGTTGTGACAAGTATGTAATATGGGAGGCTGTAATGTAACTATACATTTTTCTGATTTTCATAGCTTTTAGTTTCAGCTTTCCAGTGTTCTCATTCTGGGTGTGGGAAGAAGAGGGCATTTCTAAGGCCATGTCTCCCCTAGGAGTGCATTGCAGGTATAGTATGTGTTGCACTTTTAGCAGTATGGATTCATTAGCCCCAGCATGTTCTCTGATGACTTGCTTTACTCTTGAGTGTGAAACAGACTGTATTAACAAAACCACAGCTTTGGAGATTCAGCTGTATTTGTTATATGGGCTTCACCCAGCACAGCTGACTTGTTTTGGGATTCAGTCCCTGGGATAGCTAAGTATTTGTAAGATAAATATGGCCTGAGTGACTTTTAATTCTTGGAAAAAAAACCCCAACATTGTTTATGAATAGCCTTTAGCTTTTGGTTTGTTTTGGGATTTTTTTTTTTTGGTAGAGAAACATGTCTAATACATTAGTTGTCTATCTACACTTCATTCTTTGAATAATTTCAGATGTTTCTATTCTGAGAGTCTCCAATTAGTTCACTGGCAGTGTAAAAAGAGATATGCAACTATCCCACTTGACTCAGAGGGGCTTTGATTGGATTACAGATAACAACCATACACTTTGTATCTGCTGTTTTATCTTGGTTACGTTTTTAGCAGATCAAGAAATCGCATTCCTATTTCCCAAGTTTTGTGTTTGCAGTAAGGAATTATTACAATGCCTGACAGAATTCATAACAGAGTTAGAAGTTACTTATGCATTGTGCTCTCCACATGAATCTGTGTACTTTACTCAGTAATTTTAAGTATGAAATTATTCTACTTCAGGTAATTCAGTAAGATTGGCTGACCTGTACTCTGTACACTGGCTTGCTCAGCTGCTGAAGAAAGGAGCTGAATGAGACTGGTGCATTCTGCCCCTTCAACTGCATCCATGTCTTCAGTACTTTTAAAACACCTTTGATGCATTGATGGCATTCACAGCAGTAGTAAAAAATAAAGACTTTTTTTAAAAGCAAAATATCTGTACTATATTTCTTCCTTCCTATGCCTTAGGTTTTGGCATCTTTTAACCTACCCTAAAGGGCTCAACAGCCATGCCTAGCATGATATTATTCTCTTATAGTTGGTGCAGGGGACTGAGAGACTGGATCATGGAAACTTCCCTGAAACTTAAAAAAAAAACCCAAAAAAAACCAAACAGAAAAAACCTAACAACAACAAAAAAAACCCCAATCTAAGGCAGATGGAAGACTTTAGTCCAGAAGATTCTACAGAGTAACATGTCAGTTGATGCAAAGAATTGTTGCCTATCTTTTCTACTCTGTAATGCATTACTAAACATGCATAGTTTAGAGGGTTTTGCAGGAAATAAATGGTGGTTTTATTGCAAGCCTTCACTAACCTGTATGTATGATAAACATAGCAAATGTGAAGCTGGGAGTTTAACAGAATTCTACAGGTTGTTTAACAGATGCAGCAAACCTCTGATAACCAGATTTCCATGAGGACAAACATGGCCTTATTTGTTGTCTTACACTGATGCAACTTCCTTTAGATTCAGAGAAAGTCCCTTTTTGTTCTTAATTATTTTTGTAGTTCCTCAATGGAAAAAGTGTTAAAAACTGCCTGCGGCACTATGGAAGCATGGAAACAAAATAGCCATCTGTTGAGACCCTCAAGGAACTACTGGGCAAAGTGACGGAAATGAAGAGCTTGAACCATCACTTCAGCATGGCGGCAGCTGAATCTGACAAGGACTCAGGATATTCAGGTTTAGAAAACCACTGCATTACCTTTTGTTTTTGTTAACTGGCTCAGACATTGCTTTTATTGGTGATGTTTGACAAACCTGACTCTAGCCCCTTACAGTTTGTGTCTCGTTACCTGGGAGGGTTTTTGTATGCAAGACAGGTTGCATCTGCAATCGTCCTACCATCAAACCTTTTTGGAGGGGAGCTTTATGTAGTTATAAATTTCATCCTGTGAATTTGAATGGCATGGGAATTTAAAATGTGCCTAACAAAGAAATGAATGGAAGAATCTCAGACTTCAGAGTCTAGAAGTGGGGATGGCAAAATTACTTTTTGTTCTTTGCAGTGATGAATGAACTGTTGGATTATGCCATATAATGTCTCTTACAATTTGAGGAGATTGTCAGCAGAGCCTATTAAACCAGAGAGTAATTGTTATAACATCATTAAAATGGCACACCGTGTCTACATTTTAATACTCAACTGTGCAAAGATTGCCTTTAAAAGAAAAAAAAAATGCTTTTGTGAGAGATACCTGCCCTATTGGGTTTGTAGATAGAAGATTTCAAGATACAAAATGTCTGCAGCACGGACTACAGCTGTGGCAATGCTGGAGACCGTAGTTCTGTCCTGTCCCAGGTTTTAGAGCAGTCTTCACAATAGTGTGCAGTCCCTTGGAGACCAAATACAAAACCAAAAAGTAATAGATTTTTTTGGGGAGACAATATCTGCATGGAAACTACCCTGAAATATAAAGCCTCTTATTAAAAGCTATTTGACAGCTGTCACAGCAGGTCTAATTTTATTGGTATTCCAGAACTAAACTTTATTGTTCTTTGTGGCTTGGTTGAAAGGAAGCAGAATAGTAGAACTGAAAGGAAGTAGCAAGCGTGCTGCATGTGAAACAACTAACAGCTGAATTCTACGTCTGGCAGATGGAAGTTCAGAGTGCCTGAGTGCTATGGAGCAGACTGACTCAGAGGACGTGCTGAATGCATTGTGTTGGAACGCAGAGGATGGGCCTTGGCAATGCCCAATGACCACAAGCAACTCCTTTCCTGCACTTTCTCCTATGGTTGTAATGAAAAACGTGTTAGTTAAGCAGGTAGGGAAGAAATAATATATTGAAAAATATTGCACATTCTTAAATGCAAAATATTTTTTAAAAATATTTTTCCTTTCAAAAAGATTTTTTCAAAGTTGTTGCAGTCCAGAAAGTAACTGGTAACTTGAAAATTTCTATTGTGACAGCTTGTTCTTTTGAGGGGCAGCTAGAATCACTGAGACGGAAAAAATTCAAAATGGAGAAGCTTTGCTACCTCTACTAAGCCTCTTTGTCTCAAAAGGAACCCCAAAAATTAGATCTTTTAAGAATGTTATGTAAATAGCACCAAAGATGAAACAAAAAGTGGTTTTCCTTTTGGAAGCTGATGTTTTCTTTTTCGTTCAATAAAGACAATAAAGTGGGATGATAGGTTTTGCTTCCTAGGTCCTAGAAGTGCTTTATGTGCAATGGGAAACACTAATCCAGAATGTTATAAAAGAAAAAATTAAATCCATATCTGAAATTAGCTGTGGTACTCTTACTTTAACAGTTGTTTCTCTTAACTGCATATGATGGCTCACATTGCAACAATTACATTCTCTGTTTGTGTCCTCCAGTATCTTGCTATTTGTCCTTCCTCCAGCACATCTGTGAATCTCCTCTTACATTGTAACAGAAGGTATCAGAGCTGCAAGTTCAAAGTACTGCCATATTATTAGACCATTTGCTCTATACTCACTCATGTTTTTTGAGCAGAGCAAAAGTTCTTCAGCGTTTTTTATTAGGATACGTCTGAGAACACAGTGAGAAGGGGGGAAAAAAGAATATAGATCCTGATTCTTTTTCTATTGAATCTGTTATGACAGCAAGCAAAACATGTTAAATTGAAGTGCTGTGTATCAGTGCTAATGTGGGGTTTTGTTAGTATTTAGCAGATTATGCATTTGTGGGGGAGATGGTTCTGGTCTCTGAGTACTGTGCTTTGAAACAATTTTATTTTATTGTCATGTTCCTAGATGTGTGGACAAAATACTGTCCAAACAAATGCTGAAATTTTCATATAGTAGGGAGTAGGCAAGCTTCACCAAATGTTGATAGCCCTTGGCCCAGAGCTCAAAAATTAAACACTGATTGCAGTGGTAGTCTAATGTTAAACTCCAGGTTGTGTTGCAAACTGTTAGGAGAAGTAGATTTTATATATAGAGGTGTGTGTGTATTTATAAAAAAACCTGGTAGTGTAGCAAAAAGGGAATTTGGGGATGAAGAGTTGGAGAGGTAGATAAAACTACCAGACTCAGTTGTCTTGAACAGTGCATCATAACATCTAAGTTTAATTATGTATGTTTAAGGATAATAATCTTAAGTTGAAAAATATTTACTGCAATAAACAAAAGCAACAAGTCTAGGTCAGTGTAATAATGAAGTGTCTTTCTGCCTCTTTCCATAATGTGTAGTTACCTCAGATAGTCATGCTGGTCATCTTTTTAAAAGTCTTTTCATCACAGTGCTCAGCTGGGCTTGCTGGACCCAAAATTAAAAAAAAAAAAAAAAAAAGTGTCATCCAGTTACTGCTGTTTATTTGTTCCAGTTTAAATTTCAATCAGCATCATCCTTCTGTCTTAGAACCACTGTGATCCTGCGCAGTGATGGTTACCTGCTGTCCCAATTTCAGAGTGTAAACAGCTAACAGTGTTACTAAGAAAACAAAATCAGGTACAGATCAATTCTCTGAAACACAGTCCAGCTTGTGGTAAGGTTTCTGTAAGTCTTGTAAAAGTCCTTAATAAATAGGAAGGCTTTTTAGACAAGTGACACGTACACATGCAGGATGTTAGCTTTCATTTGAAAAAAACCAAACCACTTTGCAGAATTAGTATCTTAAATGTGTTCTCTCTACTAAAAAGGAGTTTTGGCATAGGAGAACAAGAGCAAAACAAAATCCGAGTGGAAAGAAGAAGAAAGTAGATAACAGAGATAGGAAAAAACAAGAAGATGATAAACAGTTACCACAGTTTTTTTGGCCTCAATGATTTTGGGGCTCTGCTGTGCTAGATACTGTGCAGTAAATGAAAACTTCTGATCCCAAAACCTTGTTCCTTCAGGCTGTGTGTTCTGTCCTGGGTGTGTATAGCCACGGTATTTATATACTTCCTCACTCCTAACGTCTCCAAATACTTTTTTTTTGGCTGTGTTTGTCCTTTCTTCTGTGATAAGGTAGTAATATTTATTTTTTGCAGGTAGTTGTTCTGTACCACTATTCAATAAGCATCTTGCCCATTGAACCAAAAAAATTCTGTGTCAGAGGTAATTGACTCTCATCTCCAAGTCTCAGTGTCCTAATCAGTGGGTAGTACCCACTTTTTTGAGTGTTCAAGTTCCTTTAGTCAGGGAATGGAGTTCAGCAAAGCATGTTAGCATTTGCCAGTTTAAATCTTACGAGATCGGAGGAAAGGAGATGGATTTCAGGTGACTCAGTATAGTACCAAAAATAATAAAATGTATGTGCACTAGCTAAAACCTGTGCCTTCAGCAGGCCTGCCAATAGTATTCCAAGTCATAAGGAGTTGAAAAAGCAGCTGGCAGTATATTATATTAGTGTAATTGTAGTGGTGATGACTTAAATATATTAAGAAGTGAGATTTTGTTTCAGAAGGAAATAGTATCTCTTACTAGACCATTTGATATGTCTGGAGAAAAGCAGGCAAGCTTTGTAGCCAGGAGATCTCATGAAGATCTGTAGTAATGTGTTGGAGGAGGAAGAGATAATGTCTTGTAAAAACTAATGTATTCCCTGATATTTCAGAATATGGCTTGTGGGAGGGAGTAAAGACTTGGGCATTTTTATTGAAATATAATGCTTTTAAGGTTTTTCAGTGCGCACCATTTCACCAGAGGTGTGGAGTTAAACTGCTCTGAGCTTACAACAGGCTTTTTTCCTTGCATTGGTTTATATTCAGCAATTTTTTTTCTACTTCATGGTTTTAAATGTATTGAAACTGTGTATTGTACTTAAGATTGCAAGACTTACTGAACAGCTGTTGTCTATTTTAAATAACCATTTCAAAAGCTTGCTATAAGAATAGAATTGACAAGATTAGAGTTGCTGCTTTTCAACAAAGAGGGAGTCTGAATTGTTCCTAAAATGTCTGTGCAGTCTTTCTTCGACTCTTTTAAAATATTTCATAACCACAGTGCTTAATTATTTTTCAACTTTCCTGTACCCTTGTTGTTCGACCCCAAGTCTGGGTTGAACTTTCACATGAGCGTTGTACAATGTAAGCAAGCACTGTAATCCTCACTTAGGAAAGCATGTATAAATTCAGATTGAATTGTGTTTAAATGTATCTGCTGTTCCATAGCAAAAGGATTATGGATTACAGCTTTGATTCTAGTGCTGTGCTCTGTTGTCAGAAAAGGAGAAGGATGAGTTTGATGGAAAACTGTTCAGAACATATTAATTGCACAGTGTATATCAAATATGGAGAAATGTCTCAGTCCACCTGTTTCGTTTAAGGTTTTTTGATCCTCTTCTACAATATTGTTGTTTTTTCCCCATTTATGCTTCTCAGGGGAGTTCATCACAGCTCCAGTCTTGGACTGTGCAGCCATCCTTTGAAGTGATTCCAGCTCAGCCACAGCTAGTATTTCTTCGTCCATCAATCCCACCTCCCACTAACCCTCATCCTACTGGGAAAAAGAGAAATGACTCCACTAATTACCTGCCCATCCTGAATTCTTATCCCAAAATAGCACCACAGCCCTGCAAAAGAGATCACTCCTTTGATCTAGAAGAACACCAGGAAACCAATTGCCATAAACGACTCTGCACAGAAGCACCCAAAATGGAGACTTCTCCTGTATCGAGGAGCACAGGCTTGCCTACTAGTCCTTTTGCCCACCTACCAGTTAGCTTTAAGACCCCTCAGGATTCTAACCAGCAAAGTTCTTCAACTCTGGTGACAAGTGGAAAGCTGTCAGCTCTTCCTGGTTTTCATCGTGTTTCCAGTGACACTCAGAAAGTGCCGGGTTTGACTCCCCTTTTGCCTTTTGGAACTCTGCAAGCAACAAAGTGCACGCCTCATGAGACTGAGAGTGCAGCACAGGCTACCATGCAGTCTGCAGTGTGGAGCCCCCCACTGATACCAGAAGAGATTTGCACTACCCCTGAGCTCCTCTTGCAACAACAAAGCAAGTGCAGACGCTTTCAGAATACACTTGTCGTGCTACGCAGGTCAGGATTGCTAGAGATCACTTTAAAAACCAAGGAGCTCATTCATCAGAACCAAGTGACTCAGGCCGAGCTGGACCGGCTGAAGCACCAAACACAGCTTTTCATAGAGGCAATAAAGAACAATGCTCCACAGTCGTGGGCAGAGCTAGAAGCATCTCTAACAGGATCTGATAAAGCTGATAGCAACCTTGAAGACTCCACTTATTCTAACATGTAGTAAAAAGGTACATAGCTGTCCAGTTTATTCTGTGCCTCCCGTTTCCCGTCTCAAGCTTTTACTTGAGCATTTCTGAGTCCAAGACCTGCGAAGTGGCATGCCAGTAACAGCTTGTCTTCAGAGCCGGTTGTGGGACTGGAGTAGCATGGTGGGGTCTCACCAGAATGGGTACTTATTACTTCAGTGTGACCTTGAACTCCATGCTAACTCTGTGTACTTGGACTCGAGAAGCTTGGATGTGCTCTGTTGGCATGTTCCCATTCTTGCAGTGAAGACAGTCATTTGCAGTATTCTGCAAGCAAGCATATTCCTATTCCCATCTTCAGATAGTCAGTTCTGAGAAGAACAGCAGAACAGGCCCCAATATTGGGCCATCATCAGCTGCAAGTAGGTGAAGGGAGTTGGTGTGAGGAGAGGAAACTTACGTTGGTGGGGTGGTATCTTTAGCCTGTCACTGTCCTTTGTTGTAGCAGAGAGTCTTGCTTTGGGGTTTTAATGCATTTGAATTAGTGAAGATCTGCTTGTGCTGAAGCAGCACTCTATATACATTGCAGTCTTTGGTCAAAGTGATGAGTGTCTTAGGACCCAAGTGAAATGACATGTTCTGATGAGTATACTTTTGAGTGTGATCTGTACGGCAGAGTGAGTGAAAATTGCAAGGCTTGCACTGGAATTGTTTGTTCCAAAGCCTCATTTATTAATGGCTAACAAGTGTACAAGGCAAGTGGCTTTGGATTTTCTTGGTAGCTAACAGATTAAACATTGTTATTAAAGACTGCATTGACTTTTTAAAAACAGTACAAGGAAGATATTCACCAGGATTAATTTTGCAAGACTAGTTGCATATTATTTGGTTCATATATCTTTAGTCTACAAGCCTAAACTTTTTTTTCTGTGAAATTGGATTGTTAAGTATAAAAACAAAAAAAAAAAAGAAAAAGAGGTGAAAGGAAAAGGAGCCTGTGGTGAAACAAGTCCTCCTTCCATCCCCCCTCCCTCTCTTTTTCTATTCAGAGAAATCAGATGAAAGTACCTGGAGAAGGGGGAGAGGGGTAGGGGTGGGGGGAGGAGGGAGAGATGTCAGCTTGGATAATCTCCCTAAAAATGTTATCCATGAGAGTTTGAACTTAAAGAAAAAAAAATAAAACCACCAAAACATTTTTCCTGCATATAAATTTATATCATCCCTAGCCTGCTTGCCTCAAGATACAGCTAACACCACTGTGTAAGATGTTAGGCTTTACTAGTAGAGATCCGCAGTAGTCATGTTACAAAAGTTGTTCTACAGACATTTATTTCATTTCAGTTTATCTAGACACTTAACTATGTCACTCCCTCCAATCTGAAGGGTTTTTTTCAGAGGCAGTCTCTCTGTGTAGAGACCTAAGAATGGCTTTGTCTGAGAACGTTAAGGAATCTGGATTGTTTATGGTATGTTCCTTTCTGCATGACAATGTTTTAAAAAAATTGTGCAGTCTAGGTAACTGGGTATTTTGATGCTTTGATCAGTTCTATTGTCTATTTCAGATTCTTAAAAAAAGAAACTTGAAAGTAGAAGTGGATGTGTTGCTAATTTGTGACTAGACCTTTTCATTTTCTGATGCCTCTGTGAAACAACATTGCAGAAGACTGTGGAGAATGCTTTTGTAGTCTTCCTCAAATATGCGCATTTGAGAAACTGTAAGGGGCTTCCCTCTTGTAAGGGTTTCCCCCTTTTTTGACTGATGAAAAGAAATGCCGTACATGCCTCACATATATCTGTACTAGCCATCGGCCTAGAGAGAACTTTTGTGGCAGGATTCACCCTAGTGGAGCTGTAGCAAACTAATAGCCATGCCTTTCATGGTATCCTGCCAACCTGCTGAAGACTAGTGCAGTACATGGGAATTGAATAAAAGTATTCATAGACTATGTTCTGTCATGTATTTTTTTAAATATACCTGCTATGATTGTGCATCCTAGGCTGTCTCATAACTCACAGCACAGCAATATCAAAACTCAGCCAGCAAACCCAGAAGGCAGGACGGCAGCACAGTACAGTGTAATAATGTAGGACATGTCCGATCTAGCTCTTTTGGAATTTGTGGTATCTGCACCAAATGACATTTGGCAGGATAGATGTGATGGTACCTTAGGCCATTTCTGAAAGAGTCCCAGAAGATAAGCTTGTTTCTTTTGAGCTTCTTACAGGAAGGAGAGGAGGCAGTAGGAGGCAGTTTCATTGATCGGATATCTTCAATAGGCCTAGAGGCAAGGTGTGAGAAAATGCATAGGATAATTTTCCTACTTTTCAAAAAATTCCTGTTCTACCCATCAAGTAGAGAGGAGAATTTGAAGTTCAGAATATATATATTTTTAGGAAGTGATTGTCCTAGAAAACAAGATGATGGACTCAGGCTACCTAGAGATGAAAGGAAGTCAGAAGAAAAGAAGTTTGAGACAAGAAAAAGGGAATCTACTGGTGACCTCTTCTCCATTCTATTTCCACTGCTCTGATAGAGTAAAAGGAAGGAAAAATTGGCCTTGCAGGTTAATACTCTGTGACTTAGGAAGACTCTTGCTGATAGAAATCTCTCATAGTCCACACAGTTCCACATGGATTTTTTTTTTTCTCTCCTGACAGCACTGAGGATGGGCTGAAGTGAGTGTGCTTATAGCTGATGGGCCTTTCAGCCGGTGTAATTTGTATAAATATATATTCAATAAATCTGTGAATAAAGTCCAGCAGCTGGTTAGAAATATCCTACTGGGCATCGGTCCAGACTTAAATAGTACTTGCTGAACTAGAAAAATCCACTCTGAAACTATTATATGTAAATCTGGGGCCCCTTAGGAAACATATCCCTAGATAACTGCAGATCTTGAGGCAACATCTATAAAAAAAGGATGTTGAAGGCCCCTAGTGATAGATACATCATCAAGTACCATTCTGTTCCATTTCTCGTAGCTGCCTTTATTCCTAGAAGCTCTGACAAACCTTTAAACAATAAGGCCTTTTCTTTCTTGGCTGCAATTTAATAAAATAGATCAGCTTGGAACTGTGTTGAGAAAATTAGTTGACTACATCAGGACCAGAATAGGTCCTGATTCTGGGTAGGATCTGGAAGTGATCCAGTAGATTTGAGCAGAAACATTAGCCTCTCTGATTGGAAACCTGTAAGCAATGAACTTCCAGATTTTTTTGACCTTTGAAGCAGCAAGACTTTGCATTAACAAGTTGGCTGAAGACAGCTGTCCCCAGTCTAAAAAGTCAATCAGATGGCCTGCTGGGGCTTCAGTTGCTGCTAACAACTAGCAGGCAGGGTAGCTTGATGGGTCAGACAGACTGCTGATTTTCTATTAAGTTTTAATAAATGTTGGTATTTTTGGTTACTTTTACTATGTATTTTTGAAATTCTACTGCTCTAGTTGGAATGTAAACATTTTCTGTACTTTTGAGATCCATTGCCAGCTCTGAATACAGTAGCCCAAGAACTCTGTATAGAACATGAGCTTTTTGCTAAAACTTTACAGAAGACTGTGAAATATGAATGAAATAAAGTACATACTTGAGAAGTTTGTGGGTTATTTTAATGCTGTTAAACTGCAGAGTCCTTTGTTCCAACGCATGCTTTATATACAGCTCCACAACAGCATGTTGCCCATGTGGGAAAGTGCAGATCCAAAAGTGATACTATGATGTATCTCTCTGAAGAGAGTCGTGTGAGCTTTAACAGTATGTATGAATTAAAGGGTCTCTGGGAGGAGCATGAGTAAAAGTGTACAGAACACTAAAAATACATTGTCATGGGTGACCATTGCCATAGATCTGTCATGAACAACCTGGAAGGATTTTTCCATCTCTGAACTGTTATCTCCATGTGATGACTGTATATTATGCTCACCGTCTGTGCAGGGTTGAACTCCTACACTGTATCTTAATCCTGTCAGCTGGGTATGCAGAAGTTCTAAATCGTGAAGTGAGGATCTTGGCTACTGAAAGAATTACGTGAGTGAAAAATGTTACTCTCTCTCGAAGAACATTCTTCAACTAAATCTGTATACCAGCTTTTTAGTAAAACACATTTTTTAAAATGTGGCCATCTTTACATGGTCTTTTCTTTGTTCAAAGATTACTTTTACAGTGAGAACTAGGCAGACATTCCCAGAACATCCAGCAGCCTTGTGGGATGAGATCCTGTTCAAAGGTACAAGAGATTCTGGTTAAAGTTCTTACTTGGCACCAGACAAGGCAGTATCTTGAATCTTATTACTTTACATCCAAAAAGGAATGCCATCAACTGAAGTGATTTTATTCCCTGAGACAGGAAACTCAGTGTTTGCAAATTTTCTTTTCGTAAAAGGTAGGGGTACAATTCAAGCAGGAAACTTTCAGGTCTCTCTGTCTCTTCCGGCTAGCTTTTTCTTTACATGGTGAAGTCTGTCTGCAGAGTGTCAGGCCTGTTTACCTTTATTTCAATGAGGCCAAAAAGGTGAATTGCTTCTTTCAGGTGCACTATATCTATCTTGTTTTTCTTTCTAGTGACACATAAACAGTCTGAAAGAAGCGGTACCCCCACAGGCTTGGGCTGAGGAGTCTGGCATGCAAAATGTCTGGCATCCAATGGGATGAACATAGCTTGCTGTTACTGTTTTCGTTCTTGTAATTCCTGGGACAGAAATGCGGGGTCCCTACCTACACGGTTTACACTCTTGCTGTACCTAGGTGATGCTTCCTTTCAGGCCATTGTGTAATGCAGCCATGTAGCCCACAACTGTATTGCTTGGTCCAGAGTGTCCAAAATGCATGAGACTTCTCTTCCCTTTTTAAATCTGTACCTCCTTTGAGGTACGTCTGTGAGACGAGCTTACCTGTTCCAGTGTAATCTGATTCAGAGGGCAGAAGGAAACACCATGAGTCCAGTCTGCTCTCTTGTAGAGTGCAGTTTCCAAGACTTCTTCAAATTCTTGTTTGAACTAAAGCATGTTTTTAGAGGAAGCGTCCTCCTTTGATTTGAAAGCTCCTAGCGATGAAGAATCCACCCAAATTGTTCAAAACGTAATTACTTACTGTTAAAAATGTGCCTCTCATACGGAGCCTGAATTTGATGTCTTTCAGTATCCAGCTGTCAGATATTTTGCCTTTTGTCTGCTCAACTGAAGTGCACGCTGTGACATTGCTGTTTTCACTGTAGGCATTTACAAACTGAACAAGTCATTCTTCAGCTTTCTTTTTTAAAGTAACTGATTAAGCTCTCAAATCTTTTTAATCCTTTATTCATCTGTGGCATTCTTCTTTGGATCCCTTAAAATTATTTAAATGCATTTTTAATTGGAACACTAACATTAATAGCAAAACAGGATTGCTAAAGGAGTTGTATGGTATCGACCCTCCCTATTTTGCCTCATTTTTATAGCAACCTTGGCCATGGCATCAAATTGGAAGTCTAAATCATCCTTGGACCTGTTGCTTCTGTAGTTGTTGAATGCCTGTCCTTTAAGTATGTTTCCACACTCCTTCGAATGCAGTTTACAGCCAGAAAGCAAAACAAACTGGTTTTAATAAGTGATTAATTGCATTCATTAGTTAGCTCTGATTATCTCCCTCAAAAATCTAGATTTTAAAGGTAATTTTATGTTGTATTCCAATTACTAAAAATAATATTAAATAATGTTACAGTCAAAAAACAATTTTATACCATTTTCACAATAAGAGTAGAAGATAGTGTTTAATAGATCTCTATACAATTCAGAAACCATAGTTGTAATGCATTTCACACCATCCAGTTAATTTCGTATAATTCTGGCTTCAGTCTGCATCATGTGGCACACTGTTAAATGTCCTTCAGAAGTATTAATCTTATATCCATGTTGGCTTTGTCCTCAACCAATTTTTAATTCTAGTTCATCAAAATAAGGAGTCAGTTTTCTTTGACCAGCTCTATTTCTTATAGGCTTCATTAATTTCAGTTATTTTTGCTTTCTATGTCCATTATTTTCTCTCAGTTTTCCAGCCTATGTTCATTCAGGTCAGTCTACCTACCCACTGAAAAGCTGATGCTGTGTTAGCATCCCTCAGTCCTCTGAAATCTTTCCTAGTGGTCTGAAATTCATTGAAATAGGATTGAGGGTCCAGAGAGCTTCTTGGTTAGCTCCTGTTAAATTTCAATTGCAACTTATTCAGACTTGCTGAGTTTAAAATGTTTAATAACCGTTGTTTACAATGTCCTGAATTACTTTCTGAAGTGGAAATCAAGCTGCTGTCATGATATGAGAGGAATACATCTGGCTTTTTTCTAATTGCTCAACAGAAATTTTTGTGAAATGCTTTTGCCATTCTGCACTGCAGCAATATAATTTCCATCTTGAAATGGAGCACTGCCAGCATAAAGATTTCTTCTGCATCTTGTACATTTTAAGAAATGGAGGAAGTGGTCTTTCCAGCGCCAAAAAGGAAGTTTCATCAACTTCTTCATTGTTTTCTTCTCATTCTTACCGTGATTAAATTAATTGAGTTAGTTAATGGAACTGGAATGCCTCTTACCATGCCCACTTAGGCAATCTTACCTTTTTTCTACAGCAGTAGTTAAGGGGTTTTTTTAGGCCACTTACATTTACCAGGACTAAGAAATCCAATAACAGACAGAAAACCAATCCTTATTGTTTTTTAATAGCCAGGACTGCTTGAAAAAAATTGTGTTTTCAATGGAAAACTCCCATGTTTTTATTGGAAATGGAAATGTATTTTGGCTGGAAGCTTAGTGTTTTGCGGCATTAGTCATAACACTCATTTTTCAGTGAATCTCAAGCACTACGGAAATAGTCTGGACTGTGGGGGTAGGGGAAGATGTTCTTTCCCTTTACCCTCATCCCCTTCTCCTGGATTGTTTTGGGTTGCCTGTACTGGAAACAGGGCCCCAACTTTGATGTGTGGTTCCATCAGCTCATGCTGAAGAAGCAGAAGTCCGCATAGACAGCCAAAACTGCTCAATTGTCTGCATTGGAGGAGGAGACTAATAGAGAGCTCCTGAGTAAGTGAGGATGAAACAGCACCTCCTGAGAAAATTGTTGGCTCAACAAGTACAAATACCATTTTTTCACCATATCCCTAAAAAATGCTAATTAAAAAAATACTAAGGGTTTTGTTTGGTACGAAACATTGTTGTGCCAGATAGGCCTTATTCTACATTTGCCAGAGGCGGAGTTCAATGCAATGACTATTTTGTGAGATGAGCAGCGTTTAGTGTGGAAAGTGTGAAATACGAGTAGACAGTAGGAAAGCTGTTTTACCCAGGGTGAATGTTAACAATGCCCATTGTTTTGTATTCTTGCTAAGTATTGTCCCCCACGCAAATCATAATGCTATACAACATGTCCAAACATGCTTGGAAGTCAGAATAGAATAGTATTCATCAAAGTGAAATTGGCTCTCACTCTTCAACATCCTGTTGTTGACCATGCTTGCAGCATGCTTACACGATAACGCTTTCCGAGAACACTCTGAAAGTGGGTTGCTGACATCAATTGTGTGAGAAATCGCCAAGAAGAATTCTGAGACATTTGTTTCCATGCTAATTGTGCAAGGAAGGCAAGTCTGAGCTTGAAGATTATAATCTGAACACTGAAATGCCTCCAGATGTATAATGCGAGCTGCAGCCAGCCCAAACTGGAACAGAGCAGAGTGGTGAACTGCACTGAGGGTCTAATTGCTGTAGTGCTTGTGGTCTGCAGTGGCAACATTTGGTATAGGCTGTTGTAGTTAAAGAGAGATGATGAGGTTCAGAGTGAGATACTGGTGCACAGATACACCAATGGCTCTGACTAGTTTCTAGCAATTCACAATCAAGCTGGGCAGTCTGTACATGCACCTCATGGCAAAAGCCAAAGGGTCTACTTCTTTGAAAGGCTAGGATGCAAAGATAAAACTTGCCTGCACATTAAAATCATTACCCTGTTAATTTTTTCCACGGGCAAACTTAAAACAGTGATGTTAGGTGAAGCAGAATGATGCATGGCCTCTGCGTGATCCTGGAGCCAGCAAAGCTATAGGAAGCATTACTGCAGTTTCTAAGGCTTGCTTTTTTTTCAAATTCCACTGCTTCTCCAGCACCTAAACACCTACCAGCCTGAGACACTACAGCCATCTGATGTAAAGGGGGTTAGTTTATCAGTCAGCTTAGATGGGTGAGTGGAAGCAGATGAATGCTAGTAAAATAAAAAACCTGGATTCCTGGGGGTGAGATTACTCCCCAATATCACTTTTCCTGTTCCATGTCATTATAACATCTGTTTATCCACAGGTGGACACCTTAGAGGAGTACCTGCATGCTTGCTTCACCTCGCTGTTCTGGCAGTTGGTTCAGTAGCAACCAAGCGCTTGGTGGCCATGCAAAGATTCACTATTGCCTCTTAAAAAATAATGACAATAACAGTAACAGGCCACTGCCTGCATCTCACATTAGTATGGGGAAAGGAGGAAAACACCCCATTGTTCTCCACAGCTTAGCTTAACTTTAGGCATGGTTTTGTAAGATGTTTATCACACCCTGTTCTTATGCAAGATCAGTCCTTAGCACATCATTTTTCAGTAAATGGGTGATGGCATCCATTTTAGATCCCTTTAAGATAGAAATGTGACTAAAAAGAAGCTTCTATTTGCCTGGGATTGTTTCTGTTTGGGATAAGAACAAATATAGTGGCACTCAAATCATCTCAGACTCTTCTTCTACATTTCCACGGCCCCCCAAGCTTCAGGGCAGAAGCTGAGCACAAATAACGGCATGAAATTGGTATTGGCAATTATGTTCACACTTAAGGTCCAACAAGTACCATTAGCACTGACATGTCTAACATACGGTTCTGGACTTTTTCCTTTTTTTGAGGTTTGCCCTGGTCTCTTTCTTATCAACTCAAAGATCTTGCTGTAGATGTGATATTTATGATGTGTAATATCAGTTCTCAATCTTGT